TTATTATTATTATTAGTGGAGGGGTGGGTTTCCCTATGCACCGCGACCAGTGGTCTACTGTACGTCCCCTCTGTGATATTCTACCAGTCTCTATACCCTACCGATACTGGTGCGTCCCATCAGTCCCGACTCAGCCAGCGAGTTCGGCCTCTACTGGCTCAGCGGTACCTCTCGATGCTTCCCCCATCTATCAGAGGCGTTAAGAGACTCTTGTTGGGCGGGAAATGTCCGATCAATTTGGCTCAGTGGTCCCTTTGAGACATGAGGTTCTTTTACGTGCCGTAAAGCTACGACACGGGACCCCGGCTTAAAGTCCCTCCCGGAGGACTTGTTCCCTGAATTTTTCCGCCCTTAAAAATTCCACGACCTCCGCCGGGTTTGAACCCGCGTACCTTGAGTCATGAGGTGGGAACGTTACCCCTAGACTACGGAGGCCGCTCTAAAACTGACTTTAGTAATTGTCGGGGAATATCACTGCTAACAAAATTTTATCCAATATTCTTCTCTCAAGGTTAAGTTCATATATAGATGAAATTATTGGGGATCATCAGTGTGTGTTTCGACGTAACAGATCAACTATTGATAAGATCTTTTGGATTCGTCATATACTGGGGGAAAGAAATGGGAGTACAATGAGTCAGTACATCAGCTATTCACAGACTTCAAGAAAGCCTAAGATTCAGTTAGGAGGGAAGTATTGTACAATATTCTGATAGTTTGTGATACCTATGAAACTAGTTAGGTTAATTAAAATGTGTTTAAACGAAACGTATAGTAAAGTCCGTGTAGGTAAACATTTGTCTGATAAGTTTCCTATCCAGAATGGTCTAAAACAAGGAGATGCTTTATCGCCACTCCTTTTCAACTTTGCTTTAGAATATGCAATTAGGAAGGTCCAGGGAAGCCAGGTGAGACTGAAATTAAACGGGACACATCAGCTGTTGGTCTACGCCGATGAACGTGAATCTACTGGGTGATAATGTAGATACCATAAAGAAGAACACTCAAATTTTAATTGACGCAAGTAAAGAGGTTGGTCTAGAAGTAAACACAGAGAAAACTAAGTATATGTTACTGTCTCGTCACCAAAATGCAGGGCAAAATCATGACATAAAGATAGGAAACAGATGTTTTCAAAATGTGGCACAGTTCAGATATTTTGGGACGACAATAACAAACCAAAACCTGATTCAGGAGGTAATCAAGGAGACTGAACTCGGGTAATGCTTACTACCATTCAGTTCAGAACCTTTTGTCTTCTCACCTGCTGTCCAAAAACATAAAAATTAGAATATACAAAACTATAATTTTGCCTGTGGTTCTGTATGGGTGGAAACGTGGTATCTGACATTAAGGAAGGAACACAGACTGAGGGTGTTTGAGAACAGGGTGTTGAGGAGAATATTTGGACCGAAGAGAGAGATTCATAACTTGTACTCTTCTCCAGGTATAATTAGAATGATCATGTCAAGGAGGATGAGATGGGCAGGTCATGTAGCACGAATGGGGAGACGAGGAATGCATATAGGATATTGGTGTGAAAGCCAGAAGGAAAGAGACCGCAGGGAAGAGCAAGGCGTAGGTGGGTGGACAACATTAGAATGGATCTTAGAAAGAGAGGATGGGATGGTATGGATTGGATTGATCTAGTTCAGGATAGGGAGCACTGGAGTGCTCTTGTGAGCATGGTAACGAACTTTCGGGTTCCATAAAATACTGGTAAGGTCTTTCGTAGCTGCAGAATTGGCGGCTTCTCAAGAAGGGATCAGCTCCATGAGAGGGAGAGAGAATGTGTACAGGAAATAAAAGCCCTAATTCTGACTTGTTTCTACGTGCCAGTATTCAGGGCAGGGCAGGTGAGTCAAGAAAGTTCAAAATGAATTCATCCTTGAGAAACCTTTTCGGAGTTTTATTTACAGCCACCTTCGTGATTTAGCATCAAGGCTGTTTTGTTATGTGAAAGTAAACAGTGAATCCTGCATCAGCTTCCTTACAAGCCATCCTCGAAATTACTACGTGTACATGACGCGCTAACTTCAATAAGAATACAATGTGTTAAAAAAGACGCAAACAATGAGAGAATCTAACACAATAAGAACTCCTCAATGTGACGGTCATTGTGATCCTCAGATGCCTTTGTTTTGGCTTCGTATCTCTGAAAGCGTTCTTACGTATTTTCCAGGATGAATATTCATAAACGAAGACCCTATATCACTCTCTGTAATTAGGAAAACGAAACACAAGAAAATCTACCGTTAGTGGGATGTCTCTATTTTTCCATTATGTAAATACTGTTTATTTATTGGTTAATGAACAGTGCTGTAATTATGTAAAATTTAACTCCATGGAGCTTAGTTCTTCTCGAGAAGCCGCCAGTCGCTTAGCTATTCAAGAATCCCTCAATATTTCACGGAGCCCGAAGGTTCATTACCGTGTTCACGGGATACCTCGACTGGTCCCTAGCCTTAGCCAGATCAATCCAGTCCATACCATACCATCCTATCTCTCTAAGATCCATTACATTATCATCCTCCCACTATGGCTAGGTCTCCCTATTGGTCTCTTTCCCTCTGGCTTTCCCACCAAGATACTATATGGATTCCTCATCGTTCCAGGCGTGCTACATATTCAGTCCTTCTTATCTTCTTGATTTGATGGTTTTAATTATACTTCGCAGAAATACAACTTATGAAGCTCCTCCTCGTGCAGTTTTCTCCATTCTCCATGTTCTGTCCAAATATTCTCCTCAAGACCTGCTTCTGTAACACCCTCAGTCTATGTTCCTCCCTTAATGTCAGAGACTAGATTTCGTAACGACACAAAACCAGAGGTAAAAGTATGTTTTTATTGTTTTAGACAGCAGATGAGATGAGAAAATTTGTGGACTGAACGGTAGCAAGCATTACCCGAGTTCAGACTCCTCTAATTTTCTCTGAATCAGGTTTTGATTTGTTACTCTCGTTTCTGGATATCTGAATTTTGCCACATTTCACCTTTTCAATGGATCTATTAGTTATATTAATGTCATGATGTTGCCCTGCCTTCTCCTAACGAGATATCAATGTACGGGTATATGTAGTTTTCCTATTATTCAACGCTGTAAAGTTTTACCTCAGTTTAGTTCAAACTAAACCCAAATTAAGGTAAGACTTCACAGATTCGTGAATAACAAATTTTAAATGATTTGGAAGGAAGTGGCAGTAGTCAAGGTGCGGAGACTATCATGTACGTATTTATGGAGGAACTAAGAAAAAACACGAACGTCCCCACGTAGGCTTTAGGTTCGTCTCTATCTGAACACACAGTGGTTCATGACAGTTGATTTCGGATTGAGTGACAGGGGTTCGAATCTGCATGGCATCACTGGTAAATTTACTGCATTTATAAGGCATAATCGCGTTATTTATGTTGCGCACGACCATACATGTGGACAAATTATCTGGAGGTAGGCAACGGGATTTACGTCTCCTTACCTCGGGGTCCCTGGAAGGCACTGATGAAACGTGCGTCAAACTGAATTCTGAACGCATAGCAAAAAATATGAAGCACCTTTCAAAATGTACCGCGTGTAAATGATCGCTATTAAATCGAAACAAGAGTAAACAGAAAAAAAGAACTGAGTAATGAGAACCAAACACGCAGATCATATTTCCGAAAATGTTGAAC